ATCGCGGGGCGGCGCGACGGTGCCGTTGACAGCGGCGGTCGCGCCGGGAGCTGGCCGGGGAGGAGCGGGTCGGCGGCGCCGAGCTCCCGTCGCCCCTCCGCGGTATGGCTTTCATGGAGAAACCGCCGGCCGGCAAGGTGCTGCTGGACGACACGGTGCCGCTGACAGCGCAGATCGAAGCGAGCCAGAGCCTGCACTCGCACACGGTGAGGGCGGCGGGCCGGGCCGCGGCGCTGGGCTTTGAGGGGCGGCGACGAGGGGAGCCCGGGGTGAGGAGGGGAGCCCGGGGGGAGCGGGGCCGGGGGGAGCGGCGGCGTCCGGCTGCGGCGGGGCGGGGTGCGGCGCGGTGTCCCGCCGAGGTGCTGCGAGGTGGGGCGCGGAGGGCCGCAGCAGCGCCGTGCCGCCTCCGCCTGGCCCCGCGTGCCGGCGGCTCGGCGTGGCTCTGCGCGGCTCCTGCCTGCCGCCGGGCTCTGCCCGCGCTGTGACCCGGCGCGGCCGCTGCTGGGGCTCGGCTGTGCCCCGAACTTCGTCCGCCCGCAGGGAGGCCTCGCACCGCCCGCGCTCTCTGCTTTTCTCGTGATCCGTGACGGCTTTTAGGAGCGGCGATGGGTCCCGCCGCCTCGTTTCGGCAGCAGAGGCGAAGTTGCGCCGCGATGGGTCGCGCCCTGTCGGATGTCGGCGCGGTGCCGTCGCGCTCCCCGTGCAGGCGGTGCCGGCAGAGCTGCCCGGAGCGGCGTCTCACGGCCGGCCCGGCTGCCTGCAGGCCGCCTTCGTGAGCGCGCACCGACAGCCCTCATTATCTCCTGCCCGTGGTTGTTTTCCGCCTTGAGAACTGCGCTGTTAGGGGGTGAGCGAGCGGCGTGTGGCAGAGAAGCAGAGCGAGCCGGCTGCCGCTCCTGGCCGTGTGGGAGCAGCGATACTGGGCCCTGCGGCAGCAGCAGGCCGGCAGGCAGCGCGCTGTGCACGGGGCGGGCTGAGCCAAGCGGTCCGTGCTTCAGCAGCGTTATGCTGTGTGTTACTCTTCTTATACGTGAAGAGCTCACGTTAACTGATGCTCTTAGTCTTCCTCTGTTCAAAGTCTTCTCTTACAGATGTGGTGAACCTGGCAGGCCGTGGCATCCCCCTCTTGCATCTCCTGCTATACATGAGGCTGACCAGGTTTATATTCCAGCAGGCCTCGTGCTTCTGTCTGTTCTGGTGGCTGTGGGGTGTCTGCAGTAGGACCTGCAGAAGTTGTGTCACTTCTAGCGTTGCCTATTAGCAGCCCAGATCTGTTTCACTGTTAACTCATTTTTATTGTGGCTTGTTGCACTTCTCTGCAAGTGCAAGTGATGGTAGCAGCTTGTTGTGTTCCTTTGGCTTGTGTAAGTCTGATTAGGAAAAAAAAACCAACACAAAATCCTTTTAGAATGAGTATTCAGGAGCAGGCTTTGAATCCAGAGTGTGTGCTTGTTGCCTTGGCTGGGTGAGGTTGATGGTAAATGTCAGCCCCTCACCTTCCATCTCTGTACTCTGTTACTAATGGATGTTCAGAAACCTCAACTGATTTGTTCTGATCTTTTGTTAATAACAGAACGCTGAAGCACTGCGCCTTTTGATTTAAAGTCTGTCTCTAAGATACATCTATTAGTAATTGTTTGTTTTACTGCAGAAGCCCTGTTGATAGTTGAAAGATGATTTGAAGTGTCTGTAGCACAGATGGTTTGTAGAACAGCAGTGCAGGATAACCAAATTCAGGAAGCTGTAATGGAGCCCTGTGTTCGTGTTTGATGTCAGTTGAGTGTTTTGTCACTTTGGACACTTCAGCTTGTATCCCCAGGACCTGAGTGATTATTGCTGGTAATGCTATCTCTTGTTTGGTCTTGCCTGGTATAAATAATCCCACCAACAGATCCTTGTGCTTGAAGAGGTGCATAAATGAATCCTCTCTAAGAAATATGTAGCAGGTGGGGTGTAGTAGAAATGTTTCTGTGGTACATCAGGACTGTTACAGTTTGTTATGTTATAGTTGGAAGTAAGTAAGTTGCATTAACTCTTTGGTTTTGTCCCCCACCTTCAAGTGATTTCCTAACAAGGTGTAAGTCTTTCTTTCTTTTTCTATTTTTTCTATTCTTTATCCCTCCTAAAAACATCTGTAAAACTAAGCCTCCATCTGCCAGGTGTAGAAAATAGCTTGTGTTCTGAGCAACCAGTGAAGGAAAAGGTGGGGAATTTCAGGAAGGGCTCCATGACACATGAAACACCCAGCAGAAGGTTTGTGTCAATTGAATAGCTCGCTTCTCTATTGTTCTGAGCAGCTTCTGTTAGTTTAGGTTTGATACAGCAGAGTGAGTGAATATAAACCGAATGGCATTGAGTCAAGGGCTGTGCTTGGCAGGCACTGAGTTTCTCTTTCCTGGGGATGAAGATGAAGCTGAAAAATAAAACTGAAAGCAAAACCTGAAACGACTGCATTGTACCTGAACTGTCCAGAAAGCAGCAGGGACAGAGCTTGGAGCTGGAATGTTCTTTCGAGGGTTTGTACTTTCTGCTCAGTAAGAGCATGGCAACCCCCTCGGTTGTTTTTAGAACTTGAGGAAAGCAGCTGCAGAATGCTGTGGTTTGCTCACGAGCTCTCTGCTCTTTTCCAAGTGAAAAGAGCTGGAAGTTCTTCCTCGTGTTGGTACATCTGAGCTGGGCTGTAACCTCCGTGCTTCTGTGTGGCAGCAAGGACATCGTCAGCGGCGTTTGTCGTTCTGTGTTTCCTCCACGGGTGGCTGAAGGTGGAAACAACTCATTTTCTATGTTACCGAGTGGCACTGAGACACGAGTGGCTGTGGGGCACCTGCTGCAGGCTGGGTTCGTGCTGCTGGCAGGGCCACGTCCAGCCATTATGCAGGAAATGAAGCTGTTCTGTCGCTGCAGCGCTCCTTGGCTTCAGTGGGAGTGAGATGACATCCACTGTATGAAACCATTTGCAAGTGTCTCCACCTGATGCCAAATGCGTGCTGACAACAGGGAGGCACTTCCAGCACCAAAGCTTTTACACATCTTCGCTACTGAAATTGCTTCATGTTGCAGTTCTGTGTGCTCCCCGTCTAAAGGTGGCTTTCTCTGTAAGTTTTGGTAGCTGCATGCTTCCATAATCGCTTAGGTGTATGACACATCTGTACATACACGTTTCAGAGCACTTAAAAGTAGTAAAACCACTACTTCTAAACAGCCCTTCATTCTTCTCCAAAGCAATTTTCCTTTTTCATTCCTTTTCAAATTGAGGTTGAAGTAGACAGACAGCCAATTTTGCTCCAGTCCATTGCTGTCTGAACAGCACTTGGAAGCGAAGAGCTGAAATGAATCCCTCTTGTAACACACTCCCAGAAATTTTCATTCTCCACAAGTGAAGATGACTGTTGATGCTTCAGAAAGCATTTATGTTTTTCCTGTATTATTTCCTATTTTTTTTTCCCATGCAGCAAACAATGGTGCTCTGTCTTTCTGGAACTCCAGCGTTAGTTTAAAAGCTTGCAGAGGGCTTTGCCCATCTGCTTTACGAGGAGTTCAATCTCTACATGTTTGCCTTCACTTTGAAAAATGATTTCCTCAGATTACCTTTAGAGATGGCTTTGGGCAGGGAGCTCTTAGAGCTCACTCACTGGATGTTTGGACACACAGATCCCCCATAGCATGTGCTGAGGTTGACCTCTTGTTGAGAATGAGAGTGGTTTAGATTATTTAGAGTATTCCAACCTTATGGTTTCCAGTAGTGAACGTGCTGAGTGAGAATGGCATGGGCTGCAGGCAGAGTATTGCCTCCTTAGAGATCCTGCAGTGTAACCTTTGTTGAGTGCTGAGTCTTTCCCAAGCAGTACAATGCATTTCCCTTTCTGACAAAGGCCGTGGCAGTGCAGCACATTGGATGCCCTTGTTTCTCCCCAGAGCTTTCCTTGCTCAGTACATTTCATGATGTGTAAACGCGTGTCCTATTTTTCCCGTAGTCGTCCTACTTCATTGCTGTCCTTGTTGAGCAGCTCACACTGCCACAAAGCCACACAGCCACTGTGGAACTGTGTGACATCCCCAGACACGTGCAGTGCAGGTAAGCATCACTGCTGCAGCATCAGAGGGGCTGGGAGCAGTGAGTGCTGTGGGGAAGGAGGACTCTGCCCGCAGGGAGTGCTGAGCTGAGCAGTTTGCCTCGTTTGGTTGCTGCTTTTCACATGGGGGATTTTCTAAGTAAACATTTAAAAGATCTTATTAGAAATAGTTTCAGTGCAGCCTACTTACGCAGGGATTGCGTTCATGCTTCATTAGGCTTTCCTCTCTTTAATGCTCACAAAATAAAGCTCTTTCAAACTTGCAGTTGATGTGATCTGAAGGTGACCTGGATCCCTGTAGTGGTTGGCTTTTCAAGCCTGTTGGATTACAAGATGTAGAGCAGAAATCTGTGAAATAGGCTGACTGTCCTGAGCCAGAAATTTGGAGATGATTTTCGTGGGAAAACAGACCATATTACCCAGTATTGGCCAGGGAGGTTCTACTTTTAATGATATGAACTTTTAATGATATGATAATGATATGAACATTGCTCTATTTGTTTTTTTTTCTGATTTCATCTCTGCAAAAGCCTTCTCTTCCATTTGCATTCTGTTTATGAACTAGGAAAGATGATAAACAACAGTGTTAAACATTTTGACGTGTTGGGGTCAAACGGCTTTCCCTTCTCCCTGCACTGTTTTCCTCTTTCTTGTTTAGCAGAGCAGCAGGAAATGATCCTATAGGTAAAAGTGCTTTGCTTGGCATCTTTAAGCGTGTGTGTAAATATGTGTATTGAACTGCTGGCAGACTGAACTGGTGGCAGGAACTGGCTCAGCAGTGCTGAGCAAAGCAGTAGACATTCAGACCTGACTGCATGGGATCCGGGGTTGGGGTTAGAGGAGAGGGTCTGTGTTGGACCCACGTGTCACGCTGTTGTGTGGGGTTGTTCCAAGAGCCAGGGCCTGTCTGTGCCAACTGGCAATCTTTGTGAAGTCCCTTGGTAAACTGAGTCCTGGAAAAAATGTTGAGCTGTTCATGTAGGAGTGAAGACATTGTGGGAATGTCTGTGTGACTCGAGGGAAAGCGCAGCTAATTTAGGCCTTGATGAGCCTGGCTTTAAATACCCAGCATGTTCAGCAGGACTGGGCTTAGTTAGTTGGTAGCCTTCTCCAAAACCTGGTCTGTCGGGTTTGTCTATCCTATACGATGCAGCCAAACAGTGTGTCTGTCTTGCTACACTTGCATTTTTTCCTGTGGGCACAGTCTCTGTCCCACTGACATCAGACCGACTCAGTCTAAAATTGTTGGAAATCATTATTTTTTCTGAGCAGAATTTGACACCTTTTGTGTGCTGAGGCGTTTTCCTTGCAGAGCTGGAAGCTCTTTTTTGGCCCTATGGACACGGTGCTGGTTGGGATCCCACAACAAGCTCATCACTGCACTGAGGCAACTTCTGTAAAACTCAGCATGCCATGCTCTGCTGGGCACGTGTGACTGGGGCAGTGCTGGCAGTGGGGCTGTCTTGCTTATTATGGCTTCTCTACTGTAGCTATTCTTGGACTGTTGGTCACGTCAGCTGTGGCAAACAAGACAGAAGATCATTCAGGTGTTGTCATTGGTTGCATTGGCCAAGTGGTGCTGAGTGCCAGTTCTTCATTGCCTTCAGCACTGATGGAGGAGCGTGCTGGGACCTGCTTTCTCAGAACAGCCGCTTCTACACAGCGATGCTCTCTTGTTGTACAGCGTAAACAAGGTGCTCCATTAATGCTTGAGGGCACCCAAGCAGAACTGGATGGGAGAACACTGTGGAAAAAATAGCTGTGTCCCCATCATGTTTTTGTAATACAGTCTTCCTGTGAAAATGAGATCTGAGCGCAGGGAAGGAAATGAGAGCTGTTTATCACCGTGCTGTGCAGCAGAGATGGCTGTGGTATTGATCGGAGCAGCGGTGTGTGCAGGATGCTCTGACAGTCAGTTAATGAATGATGTGCTCTGCTGTCCTGAGTGCCTCGTGGAGTACAGCAGGGAAGGTTAATTGCTGGGTAACGAGGGATTGGGCAATGATTCTGCTGCTTTCAAAACACTAGAAGAGATGAATGACTGAGCGTGGTGAATCATCCCTGATGTGGGTTTTTTTGGAGAAATAGCCAATGTTCCTTCGAGACTTGCTGAATAAGCAGTTGCTGCATTTTTTGGCAGCGAGTGAAACAATCTCTTCCTACTTCCCAAAATGCAGTAACAGCCACAAAATAGGGAAAGTCAAGGAAAGTTAACTTTAGTTGTGGATCCTGGTTTCCATGCGTCCATTTCCACATGTCTGCATGTCACAGAATTTCCAAACGTGATTCTGTTGGTTGAGGTGGAATTGCCTCTGGGATTTTGTTACCACTTGTGAAGGTTTGTGCTTCCTGTTTTGCAGGAAAATGATGGTAATGTCAAATGGGTAATAGGAGAGAATATGGGGAGCACATAAGTGTGACTTGCTGAATATGGGCACTTTAATTCTAGTATCAAAGTTACACGCTTTGGTTTGTGACATCTTGGATTTCATAGACTCATCAAAGTTGGAGAAGACATCTGGGATCATTTAGTTCCAGCCCAGCCCCACCGTGCCCATGGCTGCATCCCTCAGTGCCACATCTCCATGGTTCTCAGACACCTCCGGGGCACTGAGTGCCCACCTCCATTTCTGTCACTTCCATCTCAGCTGCTGGAATACTGAGCATTTTACGTGGCTTTGGTTTCCATGCTTCCTGGTCTTGAATTTGTTCTCAGGATGTGTGGTTCAAAATTGCAATTTGATAGCTGTTGCTGATAAAGGGGATTTTAAATGAATTTGAGAAAATGAAATAAATAGCATTCTTGCCTGAGCAGCACTGTGCTTTGGAAGAAAAGCCCAGTAAATAAATCCTGGATTAGTTGAGGCTGATAGATGGGATTCTCTGGTACATTTTTGTTCTTCAGTCCTCAAGCCTTTACCTTGGTTTCACTTAGAAGAATTAGTTCTGTGTGCTCTCAGAGGCAGCTCCCAAAACCAGAAGACGTCTCATTGTATCTGAAAGAGGTTAATTACTCATAAATGCCCATCTTGAATTGCTAACTGCAAACTAAATGTGTAACACTGCCTGGATCAAGCTCTCGAATGAATGATGTGTTCAGTATGCAGGTAGAGGCCAGATGTGTAGATGCAGTTATTGTTACATATTAGACAACTTGGCCATAAAAACTCAAGGTGATGGAAGTGCCTTTGTTTTTTTCCTTATTTCTTCATTGCTTACTCATGGTAATTTGGAATGCATCATTGATTTTAATATCTGAAGAAACTGTAGGGCATGATGCTCTGCTCTGGCCTTTCTGTTTCTGCAACACTGAAGTTGCATGAAGAATGTTTGAAAGTTTGTAGTGGGGTGAGAGAAGTCATGGAACCTGAATAGCAAACTGTTCAGCATGTGAAGTGTGTGTGCTGCAGGCGGCGGCTGGCAGGGCGCTCACACACCGCTTGGCACAAGGGCGGAGAGTTGTGCTTTATGAATGTAATTGAGGTGGAAGGATGATCAGTCGTTGAAATCTGAAGGAGGTTGGCTATATCTGCATATTTAATGTATAAATAGGTAGTATTAAGTTTGCCCTAGAAATGAAGGATTGCCATCTTGAGAAACTGGTGCGTTGGAGTTATGCATACTGTTGTGGTGACCTTTTTCACACTGAACTGATGAGAAGTTGGGCAGCTGATGGGGTGGCGGTGGGTCCTGTGGTGGTTGAGACAGTAATTCTCCAGGACCAGAGGCTGGATTTCTCATTGTTGAGAGAGCTCTTTCCCTAAGTGAGGGACAGTGTTGAGTGCTTCATTCCGCAAGCTCTTGGACCCCTGCATAGCAGAGGGGGGGCAGCTGGCCATGGGTCTTCACCTTGAAGCTGAAAATCTGGATCTGGATTTTCTGCTTCTGAGCGTTTCCTAACTGGGATGTGGTCACACTTGGAGCCGTATCTAATAACGTTGTTCAGCTCATTAGTTCTTGTTCCTAACCACTTTTTTCTTTCACTAGGAATACATAATCCGTGTTCAGAGAGGAGTTTCAGCGGATAACAGTTGGCAGGTAATTTCTTAAACTCTGGTTCATGAACCATGATGCCTCTCAGGAAGAATTTGAAGCTCTTTCTAGCTTCTGAAATGTGAACTGGAGAGGGAAATAGTGATTTAAATTGAGAACATCAAGTATTTGAATGCTCAAAAGCTGAGAAAGTGTTATTGCCAGCTGCAGAAGGCTCTGCTGATAGAATGTCTCAGGAAAACAGGAAAAGTCTCTGTCATGGTGTGATTACTGTACATTGGTACGGCTGTCATTTTTAATTCAAATACCAGTTTGCCTTCCTCAGTACTAAAATCACAGCCCTGCTAATGCACAGCCAGTAAAACCTAGAAGTAGAGATGAAGGTGGTCATGAAAAGTTATTGCTTCTCATACAGCTCTAATATAGCAGAAGTACACTGTTTGCAGGCAGCCGCTGACAAATATTTTTGGGAAAGCTGTTTGGAACAATATTCAGACCTGCATCTCTATTCTGGTCAAGATGTCATTGAAAGCTCTTTTCTGTGCTCTGGCAGCACGTCATACATCCAGAAGTCACACGTTTGTACAGAAATGGCTAAAAGATGAAGAGAGTTACAAATGGGAAATGCTTCTCTCCGATGGGTGGAATAAGGGTAAATGGGTAATGAGAAAAGTGATGTGTTTCCTCAGCTCATCTTTCTATCTTGCAGATTGTGAGGCGATACAGTGACTTCGACTTGCTTAATAATAGCTTGCAGGTAACTTCTACCCCGATACATGAATATAAAACATCAGTTGAAATGATACGTGTATGACACGGCTTGTGATGGTTTTGTTTGTTACAGTAAAGAAAAAAAATAGAGACTTGCATAGCTGTAAACCGATTTCAAGTGTAACTCAAATATATGCTTTTCACTCTCAGTTTTTCTCTTGTAAAATTTAAATTATAATTTCAGCATCAGTAGCACCCATTTACATAGAAATGGTGAGACTGGCAGACAGTGAATCTGTCCCTTCAGTACTGCAGCTCGTTCCGGTTTGGCGTGTTATTATTTGTTCCCCCTTTGATTTGAGGAAAGCCAAGGCACATACCAACATTATAAACTCAGCACTGAAGTGCTATGTGTCTCATTATTTATATTGGTCTAAAAGCACTTCCAGATGCTGCTTATCATGTGATGGATTTCTGTATCTCTGGGAAGTGTTCCTTAGTTAAACACTGGACTTACTGTGTGTATTCTTTTGCTTTTTAGGACAATTATTTCTTTTTAGTTGGTGTGGGAAAAAGCAGGGACATGAGTGTGTTTGGGAGAAGGGGGGTGAGCTGGCATCTCCAGGAGTGAAACTTGTCACTTGGGATTTCCACAGGACTAGGGAAGCCAAATAAAAAGTGACACTGTGATTTGAGGTTGGATTTGTGTGACTGATTGCCCCCCATCATCAGGAGCTGAATACTGCTTTTGCTCCCTTCCTCACCCCCCACCAGATCAGATCAGCTGTCTGCTAGGTGAGCCTCCTTGAGCAAAACCATGTTGGGGAGTTGAGTTGTGTACTCTGATAGGATGGGAATCATTTGAAGCAGACTAGAAGGTAGATAGGGGGGCTAATTGGTTGTAACTCAGTACATGCAATGTGGTTGAGTTGTATAATTATTTTACTGAACACACAGCAGCACACAGTAACTCTTGTCATGACCTAGAAACTTACGTGATGTGCTGAATAAATGCAGTACAAAGGTGTCTTCTGCTCCAAAGGAATCCAAGGGTGAAGATTAGATAAGCACCCATGGGAGCACAAGGAAATGAAGTGGTGCTGGTCAGCACGGTGAGCATACAGTGCTCATTGGAGTCTTCACCATTGCCAAGTTTTGGTGGAGATGGCAGAGAACCAATTTTGAGAAGGCTTTAGAGAGATGGAGAGTTCTTTTTTCAGTCTTCTACAACAAGTTCCTCTTAACTGGGGGGACAGAACATTAAGGTGTTACAGGGCTTTGTTACCTTCTTGCTTAACTTTCACATGAGCCAAGTCTATTGGAAAAGGTACTGGGCATTTGACTTCAAATTTAGGTGGAAGGTGTGATAAGCAAAGGTAAATAGCTTACATATGATGCAGTAAAGAAAGAGGCCTTTGTATCTGAGGCAGAGGTGAATGATAACAGTGAAGGGCTCTGGGAATTATTTGGTAGAACTTGTGGTATGGGCCAAGGAGGAATTTGAAATGAGGGAAAGAGTCTGCAGTGACAAGGTACTGAGATCTGGGACAACAGCATCAGCTCCTTGGATGATTAGAAAAGATCAAAATGAATCATCAGGACATTCCCCTCTAAGTTAGTTATAATGATATGTAGAGGGCAGCTAAATTAATAGCTCATCTTCATTAGCTCTTCATTTCCTTCAGTGAAAACTACTGCACACGCCCTCAGTCTCCAGCTCCTGCTTTTTTCTGCTTTTATAGACTGGAAAGCAAAGTTGCATCTCTGCTTGGAGAAAAGCCTTTTCTGGCTGCTGTAGAGCCACTGCCTGAGGTGTCATCTTCAGCCCAGCAGAGGTGAATTTAGAGCCTTTACCAAGGTTGCACAGCTCTGCTTCTGTCAGCCACCAGTGCTCCTTCAGACAGGGCTTGGGAGATGGCAGACAATAGGTGATAAGAAGCATGTTAAATTGCAGTTTTCCCCTGCTGTTCTGTTCTTAAGCTTTTTTATAAATTGCATAGATTGCTCTGAGGTGCTGGCGCTGAGGTTTTCTGATCCATTAAGACATGCAGCATTCCTCGGTTCTTTCCATCCAGAACTGTAAGCAACAGTATTTCATCAAAGTCCTCAGGTCCCATGACTTGTTAAACAATGTAAACTCTCATCTTGTGCACGGTGAGATTGATTAAAACAACAACAAAAGAAACTAAAACCTCCAGACTCCAAAAACAGTAAAAAAAAATGAAGTGAACACTGGGTACAGGATTTACAGCAAGATGCCTGGCTTTCGTGAAGCATTTTATTGCAGCTTTTGAGCAGGCTGGGGCTTGAAGATAAGAAAAGTTCCTGGTTCTGCTGTAGCACAGCCCATCCAGAGCCACTGTGTGCTGGGAAGGTCAGGACCTCTGCGAGGTGGGGGCAGTGGTGGTGTTGTCACCGTGCTCTGGGTTTTGGAGATAAGTACAAAAACCTGGGGGGTGAACACTGCTTTCTGCTGAAAAACAGCAGATGTGAGATTTATTGGAGGGGGGAAAGGAGTAATAGTTTGAAAACTTGTGAACTCAAGTCCTTTTCTCTCTGATGGTAGCTAGCTGTCAGGTCAAGAAGATAAAGGTGATTATGACTGGACGTGCTTTTCAAGTGAGTAATGTCAGAAATGCATTTAGTTTCTACTTAGAAGCTCTGTTGAATTGAAGGAGCGGTCTGCCAAATGCGGGCCTTGCATGCCTGTGGTGTTAGAGCTGATTTGGAGAATTGCAGGTTGTAAGTGATGCATTGTTGCTCTGGGGTTTATTCCCAGATGTTTTTTTGCTTTCCCCAAGGGTGTGTAAAAGAACTATAATGAAAGATCAGTGGACAGGATGATTTGGGTTAACATCTGCAATATAGACATAGTTGTCGTTCTTTTTCAGGCTGTGGTTTGTAGTCAGAGCCAGAGGCAGCACCAGGGTTTGATGGGGGGGAAGCAACTCATGGGTTCAGAAGGAGGAAGAAAAAAGGAAAGAGATTGCTGCCTCTGCCACAGCTGGTTGAACTGGTCCTTCCTCTCTCCACTGGTTGAAATGAGGATTGTTCAAGCCCCCCCACCTTCCTCTGAGTGACTTGTTTGCTTTGCAAGTGGGGGTTACTGCACAGAGTGTAACTGATTGCTGTGATGCACGTTTCTAAAAGATAACTCCCGTGGAGACTCTGCACACCCCGGGCAGGTGCTTAGGTCTGCAGGACAGTTGTGTGTTAGCAGTGTGAAACATTGATTGTGGCTATTCATGTGTTGTAATTAAATATAAGCAGTGTGCAGCCTGCGTTTGTTTTCTAATGATGATCTCTCTGATCTCACCCACTTAACGCTTTGGGCAACTTTGGAAAAGTTGCACTGTATCTGAAATTACAGATTTGATATACTGAAATAAGGGCTTTAAGCTACCCATAAAAGCAGTGGAGGCAAGAGGAAAGTTGTTAATTTGTACTTCTTTAAATAAAAAAACACAAATCTTGCCAGGAGAAAATGATAAGGTGTGTGCACAAAGGTATGTAATAGCATTTGGCTGAAATGTAGCCATTTGGAGTCTGAAAGCTCTGTGCTGTGATCTTAAATGCACGACTCACCAGCAAAAATTGATCTTGCATTTTCAGCGTTGTTCCATTTATGAAGCTCTTCACACTGGGATGCAGTGTGCACAGCTATTGTCTGACTGCCTCTCCCTGATAACAGTACTTTGAAACAAAACATAGGAGCTTACATACATACAGTGTGGAAAGAATTATCTGGTAGTCAGCTCGCTGCTAGGAGTCTTACTTTCTGTGCTGTTAGTTTACATCCCCGAGGCACTTTAAGAGCACCGTTAGTAATTTTTCTTCTCTGTTTAAGATCTCATCTCTAAGTCTACCTCTTCCTCCAAAAAAACTGATTGGAAACATGGAGCGTGAATTCATAGCAGAAAGACAGAAAGGACTGCAGGCCTATCTCGATGTGATTACTTCCCATCACATACTGTCTAACTGTGAACTGGTAAAAAAGTTCTTGGATCCAAACAGCTATTCTGTAAACTACACTGGTAAGTGGGGAACTGTAAAACCGCATTACAGCTTCACTGCAGCATGTGTGCGTGTCTTCCAGCCGTGCTGGTGGGGATTTACACTGAAGCATGTTGCAGCAGAGGGAGGGGGGAGCAACCATCACAACCATTGCATATCATCACAGGCCCAGTATAGCAGTGTTTGCCCAGGTCTGTGGATGAGTCGTGCTGTGACAGCCAAATCCAGGTGTTTAAATTAACATCTATATAATCTGAACCTGAGGGGGGGGGAGGAAATGAAACTGAAATGTGTTTTCGCAGTTGGTGAATGGGAGGATTGGTGTCTGGAAGTTATTTATCAGGGGTAAACCAGCTGGTCAGTTCTGCAGGTTGCTCTCACCGCTGCTCTTCTGAACGCAGAATCTCGCAGTCGTAAGGGTCAAATCAACAGAAACAGCTGCTGTCATCTTGTCTAGCTCTCACTGCCAGTTAGGGCTGCAATATTTCGTAGAACTAATTGTCTGAGATATGTTTGATGTTTTTTCAAGGCTTGAGTGAAAGCCTTCCTCCCCCCTCACGTGGAAAATCACTGCAGCCCTTCAGATGATACCTCAGTGATCAGTTCTCTTCATTATTAAATGTCTCTCCTTTAATTTTCTCTGGCTTCGGCCACTGGAAACTGCTAGAATTTGTTGATCAGACCAAAAAACTTCCTCTTCATGAAACCCATCCTTAGATTTACTTCACAGGCAGACTGACTCTTTGCAGAATGCAAAGCTTGTTTTCATAAAAGCACAGCCTGCTCAAGCAGGAACTTACTGCTTCCTTTTTACTTGTCTTTTTGCTCTCCCTTTATGTAACGTTCTGTTTTCAACTTCAAAGTGCAAAGAACATTTCCCGAATGCTTATGATAAGCCGTGGAGGAGATGTAAATTGTTAGTAACTCTCAGGATGCAGTTTGTCTGGCTAATGCTGAGCAAGCAGTTTGAATCCCGTAGGAGATACAGTGACTTCTGTGTTAATTCTGAGTGCTTTCATCAAGACTATTTTTCCTTCTGCAAGTTGCAGGGAGGTTAGTAGCAGTGAGGTGGTTGCCTGTGGTCTTTGGAGACAGCATCAGTGTGTCATCTTTTAATATAGCAGAGAGCTGGCATTTAGTGCACTGTTCCATTTTTCTTAGCATATTTTTAGATTGAGAAGTTCATGTGCAGAAAAATATGGTGCATTCTTACCTTTTTGTTGTGCTCCTAAGCCAAGATAAGCTGTGTTTGAGAAAACTCCTTGCTGGCATGATTCCCTTTCTGCACTTGTTGTCATCACTTCTCACAGATTTCTCCTCCAATGTGCTCATGAATACACTGGTTGTATTCTCAGCTGTGGGAGAGCTCAGTAAACAGAAGTGTGTCCTTTCCTTTTTTGTTTTCCTTTTCTTTTTTTATCTTTTTTTCCCTTTTTCCTTTCTTTTCCTCTCAGAAATGAATATTGGATCACAATAGTTGGAAAAATATCTTATTAAATGTACAGTAAGGAGGTTTACAAGGTAGCACTTCCATAGGTATGGCAAAAACATTTTCTGATCTACTGTAGGGTATTCTTTGTGTGAGAAGTCTTTCCTATGAGCATTAGATTTAGACTTGGGAATGTAGATGTAGTAGAAATAGAATGCAAACTCAGTAGGCCATGCTTTCTGAAGGCAGTGCTTTCTGTTTTCTCTGTGGATTTGAGTTCTCAGGTTATAAATGCAAATGCCTTCTAAGTGTGGTTTTATCTGATTTCCTTTTAAAGTGATTTTGCTGACTGAGTCTGAAATCCCGCAGGCTTGAACCTTACCTTAACAATGTAAAAATCACATTAAATGGTCTCTTATTTTTTTTTTCTCCCCAGAAATTGCCTTACAGCATGTTTCAATGTTCTTCCGATCAGAGCCAAAGTGGGAGGTAGTAGAACCATTAAAAGATATAGGTAAGAAGAGCATGTATGCACAAAAGCTTGCTGTGTTTTTTCCAATGAGTTGTCATAATCTATCATTGCTTACAAACTTTGTCCTGCATGTAGGCCGTGTGGTTTAGCAGGGCTTTAATTAAAACTGGTGATGACTCTTTTCTTGCAGGTTGGCGAATACGTAAGAAATATTTTTTAATGAAGGTAAAGAATCAACCAAAGGAACGGCTGATGTTAAGCTGGGTACGTGTTCTTTCGTCTTATTCTCAAGTCTTTCATAATGAACTTGCCTTATTTCACTTATATTGGCTACCAGGTAGGAGTGACAGCCAGTGTTAAGAGTTCAGGCTCTGAAGGCCTCGAGCCGTCGTGTAGGTGGGTGATGTGGAAACTTCTTTGTGAGGTTTGCTGAAGGGTGGATATTGCTGAAGCCTGCAGTAGAAGGGAAGATGGTTTTGGTACAGAAGAAGGTGGAGATTGATGCTTTATTCGTTCACAGTCCGCACAGTCCCTCAGTTGGGGCTTGGCAAAGTTCATTCAGTGGTAGCAATACGGGTCAGCTACCAGGGAGGAAGCAGGCAATAAGACATACTGTCAGATGTTTTGTATTGTGAAACCATGACCTTATGCAGCCCTCTAATTTTTTTTTTTTCCACGTAGAATTTCCTTCCTTGCACTTCAAAATATATGTTGAAGCATTTGCCTTCATTTATAAGAGCAGAATATAGATCAAATGTTATGGAATGTCACATCAATTGTGATACCTTTCTTTTCCTATTTATTTTTAGGCTGATCTTGGCCCTGATAAATACTTGTCTGACAAAGACTTACAGTATGCTGTGAAACTTCTTTCTTCCTGTTCTGTGAGTATTAGTTGAAGACCTTTCAATTATTCCAGCACAAAATAAGTGGTTGCAAAGGCTGATCTTGCAAAAACACACGTAGTCTAGTAGACATGATTTATAATTTCAGAGTTGCTTTCATTTAAAGGTGTGTGAACTTTTTAATTAAGTTTCCCACACAGTATGAAGTAACATATTCTCAGCACAAATAATAATCCTGCTGAATTGTTGCAGGGCTTTCGGAGTTGTGGCTAATTGTATTCTTCTCTTCTGGTGCTGTACTGTGAGATCACGTGCTTTTATTTCATTTTCTCAACGCTTTCAGGCTGTTGGGATATTTTTCTAACCAGAATACTGGGAACATTCTTGGGCAGCAGAGGAATGAGTGTCATTATTTTTTCAGTTCTTTGAATTTTAGACAGAAACATCATGTTAGAGGTACAGGGCCAGATTATGAAACTCTCATGTTAAGAATCCAGCAGGCATCTCTGAAAAACTGGACTGGCTGAAAAGAATGGAATTTCAGATGGGTAAACCTCTGTGTGCTGCCCAGAAACCTGGAAGATGCCCACACTACAAGGGGCAACAAAGCTTTTAACTCCGAAACAATCTGAAGCTGATGCATTAAAATAAGATATGAATGAGAAGTCTTTTCCTAACTAGCAATTTCAGTTAGTGTATGTGTTGCACGTGTTATGTATTTCAACATGTACTTCTCATTTGGTTTCACAGTGTTGCTGGAAGTCGTTACAATGATTTCTAAAGACATGGAACTGTTACAACAATTGTTACTGCTGGGTTTTCTTGTCTGCCATAATTGTATAAACCCTGAATAGATTAATTAGCTTAGCATGGCTTAAACCTGCAGTAAAGCTGCTCACGCGTTAAGGGTTAATTGAGATGGATTCTTCATTTATCTAAACCACCAGTCTTTTTTCTTTTTTTAATAAAAAGCATAATGGATTTTTCTTGATTCTATGTGAATGTTTAACAGTGTTCTTGTGGAGTTTGCATTTACTTTAAGAGTGAATAACCAGAGCAAATGTCACTGGCAGAATCCATTTTATTGCTTACAGCACGATTCAGACAGATCTTATCTTTCTCATGAATCAAGAAGAAATGAATTACAGGATATGTCACCTGAAACTTACCTACAGTTTCTTCTTTTGGTAGCATCCCTATATTTACAGAGTCACTTTTGCCACCGCCAGTGAATCTTCAGCACTGGTTATTAGACCATTCAATGAAAAAGGGACGCTAAAGGACCTGATTTATAAGGTAATGTCTTCTCTTTTCCCCCACCTCAAATGGTTGAATATTTGTTGGAACGTCCATAGTGTGTCTTTTCTGAAGCTGTTACCCTCTATTGCTAGGCGAACTAAGACAATTCCTGGCTTTTCTGAGCCTGATGCTTCATGTGTGTCATTCTTTTAAAGGCCAGACTGAAAGATCCCTTCCTGAAGAAGTATTGCAATCCTAAGAAAATTCAAGGTCTCGAACTTCAACAGATAAAGACATATGGAAGACAGATACTAGAGGTATTTTTTTCTTTCTTTCTTTATCATACTTTATTTATACGAAGGTTTTTGTGGTGGCTTTTTTTTTTTTTTAATTTAGTAGTGTTTGTTTGCTTGTTTTTATGTTTTGGTGTTGGTTTTTCTGTGGGTTTTTTTTTTTTTTTTTTTTAGCACAACAGTGTTACTAGAAAAAATAGACAAACTTTTTGTGCAGGCAAGATTCCTTTGGCAGCAGACTTCAAAGTTAAATGTAAATTGAGCTGAACTGCTAAGAGCTGAATTTAGATACATATGAGGCCTGTTCTGACTGATGGGGAAAAAAAGGAAAGAAAAAATAACAAGGCAGCTATTATATGTGCAGCTGAGGTGGGAGAGAGGTGCTAATGTTTCAGAAAATTAGTTTAGCTGACTTCTTTGCATCCCTTTATCCTCACAGAAGTTTTTTCCCATTGGGGTGAAAGGGAAAGAAGTAATTCATAGCCTATGAAAAATGGGCCACAGAGTCATTGTCACTGAATGTGTGGGCTTTTAAACTATGGTATTTGGTAAAACTGTGACTTTTAGTTTCCAGGTCTCTTTGGGAAGTGTCTTTGAGCTCTGAGCATAGCATCAGCTGTGTGCTCTCTGAGAAATGTTACCAGTGAAATAGGAATGGATAGAATGGATAGTCAGCCAAAGGTGGAGTAGATAGAAGATCAAGTTTAGCAGGAGTTGCAAACCAGAGGCCTCACTTGTTATGTGTCTGCTTTTGTATTGGAGCATCTGAGATCTTGAGACCATCAGGACATCTTGTGACCGTGCTTCTGTCTTGGATTTTTTTCAGGTATTGAAATTCTTGCATGAGAAGGGATTTCCGTATGGCCATCTTCACTCTGGCAATGTAGTGCTGGATGGGGACACGTGCAAGTTGCTGGATCTGGAAAATTCCTTGTTGGGACTTCCATCCTTTTATCGATCGTACTTTTCACAGTTTCGAAAAATTAATGTAAGTTTCAGAAAATCAATGTACCTTACTCTGACACCTCCCTTTATCCGCACCCTGAGATTGTGGAGAACCTGTAGACTCCTAGCTATTAAAAACTACGTTTTGCTTATTTGAAGGGTGCCTATTTATTTTAGGCTTATGCAGCAAAATATGATCTTCCTACAAAACTATGTAACAAAATTTGCCCTGTTGTAGCCATACAGTCTTTTAGCCAGCATCTTGGCTTGGCTCTTAAATGCTCATTGCAATAAATTAAGTAGAGCATCACAAGACAGCTGCTTGCTGACCTTGCTAAACAAGTTCTACTGTGTTGTCAAAGGAATGATCAAAAGTTCACGGTTAGTCCAAGCTTGCTAGTGCCATCAAAGCTCTAAGCCTCCTCCAGTACAAGAAACCACTTCTGTCTAAACATGATTCAAAAATCTCTGAATTATGCTGTCTGGGAACTTACCTTGCGCAGCTATTTACCTTCGCTAGGAAAATGTGCTCAGCTCTGATTTGCATCAATATACAGTTCTCCAAACTGCTGTCTGTGAGAAAAAGTTTTCTCCTTACACATTTTTGTAGAACTCCACAGTGCTATCATGCTTGCATCATCTCTAACTGAAATACAGCAGTAACTTCTTTGCTTGGGGTATGAAGATTTCATTTGAGTTTCAAATTGTGCAGGGTTAGACTGTGGTTAGAAACTGAATGGTTCCTCTTTTCAACATTCAAATGCAAGACCACTCTTTTTGCTCATTTGTTAATACATGTTTTAAAAGAAGTTGTGGATAAACTAAGCAGTTCTAGCAAGTTGTGTTTTTACTTTTCTTGCTTTTCTTCCTCTACAGACTTTAGAAGGCATTGATGTACATTGCTTTGGGCACTTACTGTATGAAATGACATACGGAAGACCCCCAGATACAATTCCAGTAGACAGCTTCCCTCCTGCACCATCAATGTCTGTTGGTTAGTATACGATCGAGACCGTGGCAGCCTCAGCTTCCTGGCAACTCTCACCTTGTGCTTAAGCAGAAGTGCTCTGAAATAGCAACCTAAAACCTTCACAGCCTGTGCCTGGAAATGGTTATTTAGTAATTTTTAAAAATAGAAAATGTTCTTCCTCAAATATGTAGCATATAAATATAGACATATTTTTAACTGAATGATAAAACTGTGTGTAGTAATTAGATGTCTGGATCCCCTGGCCTCATGTCTAACATTCTTGAAAAGTTTTTACATGTAACAATAACATAATAATAAAAACCACATGTCATAAAGCTTCATCACCACTTAGTTGATGGAATACTTAGAGGAACATAATATAAAGTGTCAGACTTTCATTCTAAATTGTTTGCTGTCCTGCAGCGCAGAAATGTGTCCATTCTTATTCTTTCTTTGATAGTGTCTGTGTTGGAATCCATTCTGACTTGTGAAGCTATGAAGAATGGCATGCCAACTGTTTCACGGCTCTTACAGATGCCGTAAGTTTTAATGTGTTTGTTTTATGCTCATGATAATTGTATAACGGGGGAGAATCTTTTTGCTTGTTCTTCATCAGAAAGATTTGTTCCTCGTTCTGAGGGCTGTGTAGTGTATCCCAAAAGGTGATTTAAAATTGACAGATTTCATAGAAGCCATCACTTAGGAATATGATAGGTACTCACTTAGGATTTCTTTGTCTCTCTGTGTGCTGGAGCGTGGCGCTGTGGTTTCAATTATTCGGCTATTAAAGCAGTGCAGGCATGGTTAAGATTATGTATTGGATCATTTAAATCATTTAGAATAAGGAATCTTTTTGCATGTCCCTTCCAGACCTAGTTCTTTAGGTTTGGCTGTCCATTTACTTACGACGTACGGCAAAATAGATTTCTTGCTCTGCTCAGTGGTGACTTTTAGACTGAGTCAGAGTGTTGTGCAGAAGTTCTGTCGGGTTTCTTCCAAGGTTGGCTTAGTGAAGCACAGATAGCAGAAAATTTCTTACGTACTGTCCTCCTAGTGACACAGCAAAGGAGTAAAGGCAGGAATGGAGAAATATTAGCATGTAGAAAGAAAGCAACATCTGTGCATGGCTGAGCTGGAAATCATACTGTCTGCAGTGCCACCTTTCCTGCAACTGAGAGAAGTATTGCCTGAGAAGTTGTTGACTGTCACCATGCTGTGACATGTCATCAGCAAGCTGAGAATAGAATCACATTTCCTGATGGGCTTGCTTTTTCTTACTATGAGATGCTAGAATCGTGACCTCATAAATGACAAGATTACCCATACTCAAATCTGGGGCTGATCTTGCAGCGTACAAATTGCTGTGCCTTCAGAGCAAGCACCGAGAGTCGTCCCCAGGTTGGGAGGAGTGCCTGCAGTTGCGTCTCAGCCTCCTGTTCCTTCTACTCCATCCTTCCTCTACCCTTGAAGGAAGAAGGAGATAGAGAATAGAATGTAAGGAGAGGAGAAATTCTGTCAGAAAGCTGAATACAGGAAGAGATAGGTGTTAAAGGATGTTGAACAAACAGTCCGTGCCCAGCCGTATCTGATATGTAGGATATTGTATGACTTTTCCTTCGTACCCATACTCTTCACAGAAATGTTCATCATGTTGTGCAATGCAAAGAATGCAATTTAAATATTTTTTAAGCTGTTCTGTATAAAATATGCGCTTACTTGACTTTGCAAGAATATGTAGTCAGAAAGGGTCAGAAAATTGCTCTGTGTACAAGGGTGAGCCTTTTTTTTTCTGTTACTTTGATTTGATTTATTTCAGAATTATTCTTGGACTACTGATCTTATAAACTTGATTCTAGGTTTGAATTTGTTCTGTCTAGTATGGACCTGTGATAATTTTCTGTCGTGAACAGTAACAGGAATCTGTGACTTACTTAACTTGGAGCTGGACTCATGATCTTTTTCTAGGGCAGTTTTCTAGCACATTCTCCAGAACAAAGTACCTGGATATGGACTAATTTATTTTCAAACTAACATTGCCCTCTAGTGTCTTTGTTTTGGATGGAAAATTATTAATCACTTATGCTCTTGCTGATGCCATAGAGGGGAGAGTAAAACTGTCAGTATAGCTGCATAGTCCCTGGCAATCTGTGGTCATTAAAGAGTGTGTGGCTTTAAGGAAAAGGCACTTGTTTGGGGGATGTCCTTCTCTACCTTTGATAATTACAGGCATTCTTTCAGTTTTCAAAATACTGCCTCGAGTCTTGCTAGCTCTGCTGTCAGTAGTGGCTACGTTCTGAGGGGTAAGTGCTACTTACTTTAATGCAGGGCTTGGGAAATAAAAAGCAGTGCATAAAAACAGACAGTGAGATGGGGATGAGAATAGAGAAGGGAAAGAAGAGAGACTTAGGTGAACAGTATCGGCAGTGTTCTCTCTGTGCTTCTGCCTGTCTCACAGAAATAATATTCCTTTTCTTTTTTTTCCTTTTTTTCCATCCACTTGCAGATTATTCAGTGATGTCCTGCTAACAAACTCTGAGAAACCACAGTTTAAGGTAGGGTTGAGTGTTGATTTGCTGATGTTTGTGGAAGTGTCAGGTTGTGGCATTAATTGATAATGTGACATTAATTGATAAACAGTAGAGTACAGCTGGCTTTACTTGACTTTTCAGTGAGTCACATCAGTATTTCCATTCCTTTGCTGAATAATACCCAAGAGCATTATATATCAACCCTTAGAATTGGGGCACAGTGTGACCCATGAGTGATTCAGGTGTAGTTGCTGGAGCCAACTTACATGACTGATCATGGTGCTCTACATTAGGAACACAGGTAAGCTGCCTGCCTTGCAGTGAAAGGAAGCAAATCACTGAGGCTGGGAGCTGATCTTGCTTGGTGAGATCATTGACACAGTAGCCAGCTTTGGAGCTGGGACTTCTAGGGAGCCATCGTGCTTCCACTGGGAGGAGCTGCCCCAGGGCAATTCAGGTAGAAGTGTGCTGAGTGTCTTGTGATTGTCAGACTTATGGCACTTTGGGGATGTGAACAGAATACCGAAGTAGTTAGCTGTCCGTGGTGTTAGAGCATCCCTGCCATTATTCACTGCTTCTTTGTCTAAGCTGTTGGATTGGTTGCTAGGTTTGGAATGGAAAACTGGCATCTAGAGTCCTTTTTCTCCTCCACTACGGGAATAATGTTAGAAGTTGGATCTTTAAATGTGCAGCATAGTCAGATGAATGGTGAGTTTTGAACAGTGAAGTTGTTTTTCCCTTTATCACATTCTGTTATTTGACTTTTTTTCCTCCATTCTTTATTAGATTCCTACGAAGCTAAAAGAAGCACTGAAAACGTCCAAGGAATGCATAGAAAAAAGATTAACAGAAGAACAGAAATTGGTAACTTCTGCATTTCTTTACTGTCTTTCCTAGAGACATTCAGTTTCCTCTTATCTCTTCTAAATGTGGAAAGTGAGCTCTTACTTCAGAGTAACAAAGGTTTTCATCAACAGATGTGCTTTCTCAAAAATGTGGTATTGAGCAGCTGTAGAACAGCTGTTGAAGGCATGGAATTACACTCATATTGTGTAGAGTGGTGCAGCTTCACAGGGACTCTTATAGGATTATCTTAATTGTTCTGTGAGGCTCTGTACTCTAGCAGCAACCATAAAGTTAAAAGTTAAAAGTGAAAAAAGAAAATTGCACGTGCAAAGTGACTACAGTTTTTTTTTCTTGAACCCCAAACATATGCTATGTTGAGAACACTTGGGATCTTAACATGGCTTTGTTCTTTTTCCTTTTTTTCCCCTTAATTTTGAAGATTCACCAGCACAGAAGACTGACAAGAGCTCAGTCTCATCACGGCTCTGAAGAAGAAAAGAAGAAAAGGAAGATCTTAGCAAGAAAGGTAAACATCTTTACATGGATTTCTCACACAAAAAATTATTCAGTGTGTAGCATGGACATCCACAGGTGTGCTGCAGTATTCAGTCCTGTGATGTTCTTCCTGATCTGTAGCTAAGTGGTAACACTTATTAAATGACTGCTGACTGTTTAACTTATTTGAAGTTACTTAATGAAAATGGGCTTAACTAACAGCTGCTGCCCAGTGAAGGTCTGAGAGCTGTTTTTTGTTTTTTTTTAGTTGTCTGCAGCACTCTTTCTGTTTCTCATCCTTTTTTTTTTTTTTTTTTTTTTTTTTTTTCTTTTTTTTTTTCTGCATCAGTTTTCTACATTTCCCTTGCAGTCAGAGCATACTGAAGTTGCCCTGTTTGCCTGGGTCATTTGAGCACAGGGCTGCCTTGCTGCTGTTGTCTTTGCAGCAGCACGTGTTGGTTGGGGAAGAGAGATGCTGGGTATTGATAAACCTTGTGTGATATATCAGATGGCTTTTAAAAGTTCTCTGAGTCAACTTGATTTTCATCATGAAAGGGGTTATTCATTCCCACCTTCTGTTTCTTCTTTGTTTGAAGAAGTCAAAACGCTCTGCCTATGAAAGTGCGGAAGAACACTCAGCAAAATACAGCAACTCAAATAACTCAGGTAACTACAGAGAGAAGAGCTTGCTTCTACACAGCTGTGTCAATGTTTTCATTGTCACTATAATTCTGTGGCTTAAAAGGTCCAGGATCACCATCAGTTTGCACCATAATATTGAACTAACAAATGCTGATAGTACTGTCTCCAGCGTTTGGTAATAGATAAATTGAGGGCTTAGAGATACCACTAGAGCTAAATTTTCAGCTGATACAAAGTAATGTGTCCTCTCTTCTGTGTTCTATTCCTCAAAAGGAGGGAAAAAAAGGAAAAACAAACAAACAAAAAAAAAAGATTAAAATAATAACAAAAAAGCCCACTCTATTCAATCCATTTGACAATTGACAGGAGTAGCATTGATTATTTGGATCTTTTGCTAATGAAGACCTCAGAGAGAAACTCTGTGATGATTTCTTTAGTAAGGTATTAAGATGAATTGATTATCTTTTGAATTGCTTCTTCATTGTCAGTTTCTAAAACAGCACAGTATTTGACAGGTCTTCATGTAGTTAAAAGGGATGGCCTGTACTACTGAACAATTCAATGTAGTGTTCTTGTGTGGCTAAAATGTGTCCAGAATCAGCCTACTGTGGAATAGTTAGGTGTCAGAGTAACTTGTGGGTACAGGAACTGACTAAAAATCATCTCTTAGAAGGAGGAATGAGGTGCCATCCATGCAGTGGCACAACTCTTAAGGAAAACAGAATTTGGACGCTGAAATCCAACAGCCTAAGCAACAGAAAAGAAGTGTTTCCCATTGAGGAGTACTGTTGACTGTGCTGCTTATGTGTTTGGACCTCCTCTGATAATATGTACTGTAAAGCTTTTCTGTTTGGATCGGGTGTGAGTGACACTGTTTGTATGAATGGGAATCTTTCCCACGTTTTCGTTGGGAGCAGAATTGAGCCTTCAGTCAATAAAGTTGGCCTGTTTTCAACAATCTGTCCTGTCTGACTGTGTTGAGTTTTGCATCACAGCTTTAGTTACTAGACTGTTGTTTTATTTAGCAGGCTCTGGGGCGAGTTCCCCATTAACATCTCCATCATCCCCCACTCCGCCCTCTACAGCAGGTAAGCTCAAGAGTCATTGTAATGTTTGTTTTTAATTTGTGGTGTCCTTTTTGTTTTACCCTCTGTGTTTAACCACAGGAACTGTGTTGTTCCCAAAGATGATTAAGGGATGATGGTCTTAAACGATGGAACGCAGAGATTATGTTTATCTTGTATCAGGTCGAGTGTGGACATTTGTCCTCTTTTGAGGGCTATAGAGAACCTCTGAATTCAGTTCCTTTTTTAATATTATCTTTTCTGGGAGGTGCCTGGTATGATTTACCTGTAGAGTTTAAGTGTTTACTTCAGTCTTTGATTTTACTCCAGTCCTACTGAGACTGCTGGTTTCCAGACATCTTCTGAGCTTCATGTTGCAGTATACGTTTGTTCTAATGTTAATGGCCTGTGGGCCATGAAATAATGTTTGTCAGTCCCTTGGTTCTGTGTATTGTCTATTTACACCTGTACTGCTGTGACCTGATTTTGGAAGTTTTGGGGTATGACAAATTGAATGCCTTAGGCCACATAAATCTCCCCTATTCTGCTATCGCCTATTGGTGATATGAGTAGAGCTGCTTGTGCAGAGAAACAAGTCAGAAACTGGTTTGTGTTAAAAATAATCTCTCGTTTTGACCAGATCCCACTTCCAATTTGCTAGGTAGCTATGCAAACAGTTTTGCTAATGTTTGGGACAAGTGGTGGGATGTGGTAGAGAAATCTGCTTGAGTGGGCATTGCCAGAAACAGAAATACTTGTGAAAGTTGGATTACAAGTATGAGTATTGAGCTGTGGTGGACACGCTCCAGTCTGAAAGGCTAGAAGAAGTGCACTAGCAAACATTACCAGCAAAAGATCTGAATGGAATATATACCAAGAAAGGAGGCTGTCTGTGGCATTGCTGTTATGGTGACTTGTGTCATGATTCCTACTCGCAGGAGCTTTCTATACCAAAGTGATGAAATCAAATCTGTGTTTGTTGTGGATGGTCGTTTGTAAGATGCTACAGTCTTGTGATATAATTTAAATCTTTTATGCTGAAATTCAAATCAGTCATTTCTCCTTCGAGTAGAGAGTACACTGAAATACGTGTTCCATGAACTTACTTCTTCCAGTTACTCTAAACAAGATAATTACTGCTGTTGTGTTGCACAATGACAGCTCTGTTCTCTGTAGATGAGATGGCTCATCTTCCAGATTCTGTATGCTTTAAAAAGAAAGTAGCTGAACAATGCAAAAGAAAATCCCCATGCCTTCAAAGTAGATAGATATTTAGAAAACTTTTTTTTCTTTCTGGAATAGAACAGCTTTTAACTGGCGTTTCAACTTTAATGTGTACTGGAACTAGATTGAAAGCTCAGGCTCAGGTTAATTCATGGATTTGGCTCAGCTGGCTTAAAATGGCTGAAGTTTTGGCTCAGAAATTTGGCTCTGAGTTCAAACCACACAGTCACAGTGTGTCAGTCATCCTGCAGGCAGTGTGCTTGAGGAGACATAGCAGTCTGCCCTGTGTGTGACGTGATGCACATTGCCCTGTGTGCAGCCACATCAGGAAGTGCTTTAATGGGTTGATGGTGTTGGTGCTTTCGTTTGGGCATAAAGGCAAGTGTCACCATTTCAGGAATGCTTTTATAAGTAGAATTAATGGACGAAACTTCAGATATTAGCTCTAAGAGAAAGCGAGAGACATCATCAGTGATGTTGTATGTATTCTGTACAGGTGTGCTGTTGATGACTTGGTGAAAGACTCACTGGCCCCATGGTTAAGACATTATTTGTGACAGCTGATGCAGCTGTAGCTTCTGTTTTGTCCTGTTTCATTGTATTCATTAAGGATGTTTACCTCTAGACCAAAATTGCTTGTGGGCATCATGGTGAGATGACCTTCAAAGCAGGAATGAGGCTTTCAGTCTGTCCTTCTGGTTTGTGTTAGTATCGTAGCAAGTCAAAGAGTCTTGCTGATATGATGCCATGCCAAAATGAAGGCTGATATGGAGAAGGATATCCTACAGAAGCTCTTGGCCTATTCCATCTCAGTCAGTGTAGTGTGTGGGTATGTGCAGAACTAGAGACTCCAACCAGAGGTAAACAGGCTTCAGGCTGTCATACCCTGGGGAAGAATCACGGACTCTTGTGGGTGTTTCTCATTGCCAGGAGTGCTTGTTTGTGACCAGCTGTGTTGCAGATACGTGGCTGAATGCCATCTTTGAAATACGTTGCTTAGATCATGACGAATGACTCTAACACAACTTCTGTCTTTCTGACATTCTCTTCTGAATGGATTTTATGTTTTCATTTTTCCCCATCTACTTGCGCACTTCTATCCACTTTGCTTCACTGAGAATCTGTTGTTTTCCTTTGTGGCTAGGATCAGAAGGGATGCAGAACCATGGTGTGGGTTATTTAAAACTTCACTACATCTCTCAATGCAGTAAGCCCGTAACATACCAGTGAGCTCTCCTACTAGAGAACTTTGGAGGGTGCCATTTAGCCAGCTCCTTTCTGAACAGTATTGCTGTCCTGCACTTCCCAGAGAGAATAAGCTGAAGGAGTTGTACTTAACTTTAGTGTCCTTTTCTGTGCCAGTTGTTCTGAATACTTCACTACAGCATGTTTCATAGAGAGCCATGTGGAGCATCTTTAGAGCTCTTCACCTGTCTGTAAGACAATGCACAGTGCTTTAGCAGGTGCTGCCCTTGGTTGTTTCTGATTGATCCGTGTAGCTTAAGTGTAACTGCAGGTGTGACAGGAGATGTGCCATGATGAATGGATTTCATCTCTGGTGTCTAATCTTCCTGCGGATTTCTTGCTAACTGTCTCTCAGTGCACTGTAATCCTGTGAAGCCTGAATTACAGCATGTGAAATTGATAATATGAATGTTTTATTTGTTGATTTGGTATAATAATGCTTACAGTGTGGAAAGTTGAGTTCGTTATTCACAATCCAAGTGTTGTATATGCAATAGGAAAAAAAAAAACAACTGCTATTCCCATGTATTTTTCAGTGCATAAGAATGTATTGGTTTTTTGGTACTAACTTCTCAGCTAACGCTCTCTGTTTTTCTTACTTTGACACGAGATCCAGATGATTAACTTGTGTCCTCTCTCTTTCTTTGCTGTCTTCAATAGAGCATGCATCATTTTGAACGTGAATTTTCGGAAAAGTAAGCTAATGCTGATTTATCTCTTTAAAGATGCTCTGTTTCTGTATGGGAAAGTTTAATGCAAATCTTAAACTTGCTTAGTATTGGGAGGGAATGGAAGAAGAAGATCTGAGCATTCTTATGGATTATTTTAATGAAATACAGCATCTTTAAAAACTTATCACTAAAATGATTTTCTTTGTTTGCATCCCATTCTCAGCAAAGTTTTTAATGCTGTTTGCACAATTACTGTCACTTTAAATTCATAATTAAGTTTTTGTTTCAATTCAGGCATCAAGTTTACAGCATCTGATTTACTTCCTATTCCTTTTAACACACTCTCTTAACAAAAATGTCCCTGTAAAAAAAAACCCTTGGTAAGTTCTTGTTTGAGTGTTTTATTCCTATAACTGTGTGAATGAGTGAATGTGTTTGCAGTCAGCTGCTTCCAACGTATGTATTGGAAAAGTTGTGTGATAATTGAGCACTTGCCTGAAGTATTTCCTGGGTAAATATGGGAAAGTATTTCACTGTTGGGTTGATCAGTTTAACCTGCAGATGGAGCTGCATATGAGTCCTCTGCAGTAAACTAACATTTCTTTTGCACCACTCACGCCAAGAAGGGACAGCTTAGTTTTGGTTGACTGATAGGTTGACTGAAATGAATGGATTTGACAGCTTTTCAGAATCGTGCTCTTAATTTACATGTTCAATATATAATGCTCATAGCTAGTCAGATACCATCTTAAGTCCTGTATTTATATTTTAAGGCAGAAATCAGGTGTAAGATCTCCTAAGAGTTTCTTTCAACTGTATGATGTTGGCATCACAATTTAGAAATACTTGGTACTGAGGAACTTAACAGATTTCCAGGCAGAAAGGCAGCCTCTCCCCCACCTCCCTGTCCTTTATGCCCCCATCATAAAATGACCAGACCAAAATTTAAAGATAACCACATGGATTCTTGGCCTAATAATAGCAATCCAAGCACTTACGTAGTGGCATTTTTGCCTCTGTTTCTGTCAAATATGTACCTTCTTTTGCCAAATTATTACTGCTACATTTCTATTCCATATGGAGTCCTGGCCACTGTCTTCATGGTCTCTCCTTATTGTATCTTGTACAACTATGTGCATAACCTCTTCAGTTTCACCTTGCTGTTCCAATCTTGTCTTCGTTCTCTGAAATTCTTGCATCACTTTCAAGCCATCTCAGTTGTGCTGAGCTGGCCTTGGCTGTTTTACAGCAGTTCATCTGATCCCAAATCCGATGCGAGCATTGCTACGCCACTCCTGCCCTGACCTCTTAACCCATCAGAGTGGTTAACTGTTCTTGGTTTTGTTCTTCTGTGCCAGGGTGTCTGTTTTGCTTTGCTGTGCTTTACTGGCAGTCCATACACACAGCACAAACAGGACTCTAACTCAGGGGATGGTTTTCAGTATTTGTAATTACAGACTCACATCTTAGGCTAGTGCAAAAACACAGGTTTGGGTAAGTTAGATGACCCCAAGGCATCAATATGTGATGTGTTATTTCAGTTTATACTAACATTGTGTAATGTTTTGAGTACTTAAGAGAGCAGCTGATCCACGTGCCCCAGACGTGTTTTTTCACTTATTCTCTGACATTTCCAATAGAGCTTGAACATTACTCTATAGCACTTGAACATTAGTTCTGAAAGGGATGAGAGTGAAGACAGGAGCTGTTTTTCTGTGTTTTCTTATAACAGAAAAAGGTTTTCATGCCAGTGAGAATTTTAACACTTCTTGAATCCATGTCCATAGTTTTCTTTAACTGCTTAGTATTTGCTTAATTCATAGCAAGCAGTTCTACCTCATTTGTCATAGTGTGTTGGCTGGCCCTGTGTTGTTTTGCTCTTTTGTCCAAAAGCATCCCAGTCCTTGCCACTTACTGGTGTGTTCCTCGTATAGGTTAGAGCTACCAAACAAGTATTGAACTACAGATGCCACTTGTCTCCCTAGCCATACTTGACATTAACTCATGGTCTAGATAATGGAATTAAAATTCACTGTTGAATAATAATATCTTAACCGCTAAGCCCCCCGTTTTCAGAATATGAAGCTGAAGACAGGCCCATCATTCACATGCAACTGAGGGTGTGCTGCAAATGCACCTTCACGTGGATGTCTTGTGGAGCTGGGGTCACCTCTGGCCTTTGCTCTTACTCCTGCCATGTATCTTTGATCCTGAGTGTAGAAATGATGTTGTAACGTGCAGCAGCTGAGAAGCACTGGAGCACATCGTGTGGAAATGTAGCTTGGGTCAAATAAGGCCACCTGCCTGGACCTGAGCTTCCAGAACCTGTGCTGGGTTAGCTGCCTGCATGCACAGCTGGTTTCTGGCTTTCCAGCCCTCTCTGCAAGTTGTCAGGGCATGAAGCTTAAAGCATGATGAGACAACATGACTAGGGTAAAAAGCAATGGCCAGAGTGCAAGGTAGGAGCACAGAAAGAAAGCAAGTGGTGTGAGTAGTGAGTTGTGATTCCTTCAGCCTGTGAAACAAGCATTTGCTTGTTTCTCTATGGCTGAAGAAAGTCTGACAGTACAGTGGACACGTAAAACATTTCCAGAAAAACTCTATCTGCAGTTAGTTGCCTAAAACTAATGTATAATTTGATCAATCACCACAAATGCTACAGCAGAGTGGTCCTTTGTAAAACCTGTAATGTTCGTCGTGTAAATATGAACAGAGGGTAAGATTTGCTTCCCGGTCAGTATCGCATTTGAGTCACGTTTTGCATCCCTGAGAACTGATGACTTTTAGGCTTCTTCTCAGAGGTGTCTCAGATGACGTGACTCACCTGCAGATAGAGGTTTGATCACATCAGCGTTTTTTCATCCTGTTCTGTTGTTCACATTCCACTTGTTTTCAAGGAGTGAAGCTCCTAGTGCAGAACTGACACGGTCCGGCTACGTGGCTGCAGTGCTCTGAGCAGGACCTCTGTGGCATAATCAAACATCATCTTCTCTCCTCACTCAACAGGAGCATCATCGATACCCCCAGCACCACCACCGCCACCCCTGCCACCAGCAGCTCCTCCTCCAAATACAGAGGTGCCAACACAGCCAAGCTCACAGCCTGCTGTCAGTGCGAGCCGAGGAGCCTTACTCAGCTCCATTCAAAACTTTCAGAAAGGAACTCTGAAGAAAACACACACGTGTGACTACAGTGCTCCCAGGATCAGCTGAGGCTGACGGTTACACCAGGATTGAATTCCCCCTCCCGCTCCTGTGCTGTCCAGGAACAAGGCCCTTCTGACCAGCAACTGATTCACCAACGCATACAGCAGCTAGTCATGCAGTAGCTCCTTTTACCTCTATTTCAGCTTTACACAAGTAGCAGCACTACCCCATCTGCACTGCGTTGCCATGCTAAGTACTCCATTCTTTATTTGGTTTCAAGAATTTTGTTTTCTAGCTGCAGTTTCGGGTACAGCAACTTCTGCGTGGCTGAATAAAACTGAGAATAGGAATGGCCACGATCAAGGTGAATTAATGCATTTTTTAGTTCTATTCTTCTCACTTTTTTTTTGGTCAAATCACAAGAACCTACTTCTAACCTGCCCTTTTTCAACACTGGTCATCCAGCAGTAACTCATTTAACTTCCTGCACTGAATCAGCATATTTTGAGATAATCCAAAAAGAACCCAGCCAAAACCAACCAACAAAACAACCCATAAAACATACTGCACAGGTGAGGGAACTGGAGAATTAAATCTTATTCCCACCATTTTTGCTGATGGACTAAGAATAGTGTCTCAGACTTGTTTAAATGGACATCCTACCTGCAACTCTAAGGGAAAGTGTTTTTTAAATAAGGAAATAGTTGAAATGGAAGTTAATAGGGCACTGGGATATTATTCATGATTTAGTTAAATGCAAACTTACTTCAAGTTAATTTTACAGCTTATACTTTATTGAAAGATCATTTTTCGATTTGATTAAAACCTTAAACAAATTGCACTTTAAAGGATTATAGATAATCCATTTTTTAAAATTCAAGTACATCCATGTTTGTAACTATGCAGAGAATGTCTGTACAGTTTCATGTAACCTGTGATATTCAGTCATTTTTATTAAAATGTTAATGGAGTTCCTCCAGCAGCGTGGTGGTGGATGTGTTCAGCTAGCATTTTGCCTGCAAGCCTGACTTCTGAGAGTCGAGTAGCACTTCTGCTTGGAAATGCCTTGGATTCCTGACCTGTAACTGAAGTAGGACCTGAGCCCTTGTGTCTGCTTAAGAGAGGTAAGTATCTGCTCCAGAACGGTTCATTGGAAGGCACCTTTTCCTGGCTGTACAGCAAGCTGTGCTGCACTGCCTTCTGTAGGCAGACTGTCTCTACCAGGGCAGTAACAGAAGCTGCTGAACAAAGAACAAATCCTCTCTGTCAGCTCCTTAGCTGAACCCTGGTATGTGGTTGCAGCAAAAGCTGGTGCAGTTGTTGCCCAGCTCTTCAAACATACCCAAACAACTGCTTTTGAATAGTTTATTACCTTACCCAGGTCTGAAAAAAGTAACTTTTTTTCTTTTTTGCCTGTAAGAACTATAGTTTGTGCATACCGTTGTTGAGTTTAAAAAACAAGCAAACAGACAAACAAGGCACAAAACCATACATAAAAACAAAACATCTGAGCAAGTTTTTTTATCACTGTACATGACAGCTGGCATAGAAAATGCACGTGACAGTTAATAAAGAATAAATAGCTATTATTTCCCACCACACACTGAAGAGGATCAGGATCTTCAATCAAGCTCTTGTGCAGCTTTCCTGTATGACCAGAGCACTCTTTGAAGAAAGCACGAGCCACCTCTTAACCCATACTACAGGCTTCCAGAGCCATTTTATACAGGTATTTGTTAAACTGTTGAATTAAAAAGCAAGGCTTCACTCAGCTCTGGTTTTATCATTTGCCTTTAGTAAGCCTTGCAAACACAGGCTCCTAGAGAGCTGTGCAGCATCCTAGGACTAGACTCAGGGTGGCCCTTATTATTCACTACCATTCTGCACTCAACCACCATCACTGTCAGTTTAGCACAGCTGGTCTGATCTTACAGGACAAGCAGAAATGGAAGACCTCTTCTTCCCTCTGACTTTAGAGCATACAGAGAGATCCTAACCCAGCTGAAGTACAAGCTAACTTACAGACAAGCATTACCACAGGGTTACTTAAATGCAGTGGCTTAGAGAGAAACCCCACCAGACCCCATTGCAGCCATATAAATATTCTGGGAGATCGCTGTACTTCACTGTACAAAAGTTTATGCAGCTATACAACAAAGTTTTGCATACAAGTTGCCCTATACCATTAATACTTTTTAAAGCAGGACTTTAAAACATATTTACAACTCAGATATTCAAAGTTTTCTTCACTGCAAATATTATATCCTTCACTTGAGGTATGCAGTTATCTTCTAGAATTTTTGCGTAAGGCATGGGAACATCTGCACCTGTAACACGCACAGCTGGAGCATCCAAGTAGTTGAAGGCAGATCCTGAAACAGAAAATGGTGGTCAGGTTGTTGCACAGTCTCATTTGCTCTCAATTCAGTTTCTGAATTTTAATATGCTTACAACAACTTTGTTCCTGTCGTACCAGAGACAGCTGTTCCTGCTTGTCTAAAATATAGTGCACAGTGATAAGCAAAAAGTTACCACCTTGCTTCTCAAATGGTTACCATCTTGCTTCAGTTCCTGGGATAAGAATTATACCAGGTCATCTGGATCGACCATTTGAACATGTCTAGAACAAGACAGCTATTAAGCTTCTCAGATACAGGACTTTAAATGTGTTGTCATCTGGCTTTATCAAGAAGTCACGAGGATTTAGATCAATGTGCAAATTGCAGAAGTCAGTACCTTCCATGATCCTGGCGCAGATTTCAGCTCCTACTCCAAACTGTGGCCATCCTCCTTCCACAGTTACAAGATGGTTTGTCTTTGCAACACTGGCTTCCACCGTTTCAATATCCATTGGTCTGATGGTGCGCAGATTGACAACCTTAAGAAAAGGCACCGTGTGAGTTTTGCTGAGATCCAATCCTGACATCTGCTGTTTGGGCACAGGGTCCTTCAGCACTACGATCTATTCTGACTTTGACAGGAAGAGTTAAAGTTAATGAAATTACTGCTTATCCTGACAGATCTGCAGAACGGCTTTTGGTGGCTCCTGGAAAATGCTTGATGAGTCTTGCTGTATATAATTATGCTGCCACATGCTGTCGTTGTTCTGCTCATTGTACAGGTAGATCAATCTGAAAATCTTTAGTAGTTCTGACTTGATTTTGTGATGAAAAGGTCAAACACAGAAACAAGAAATGCACGTACACTGATAGTTAAGGCACTTATAAAAGCTTGTAGTTTTTAAACTGATGTTCTACAGAGCTTGAACAAGGTGACCCTCTGCCTTCTTCCCAGACAAGAGAGAGAGAAAAGCAACAGAAACACCACACACCTCACACTCAACACCTTCTTTGGCCAGGATAGAAGCTGCTTCCAAACAGTGCCCAACAGGCCTAGAGTGTGCCACTAATGTAACATGAGTTCCTGGAACAGAAACAAGTGTTAAAAAGAAACAAATCCAGAAGAAAAAATACCGATAAAAAGGCATTTTTCTTGGGCTCTTTTGTAGGTAGCATTAGTATTATCTTGCAAATTTAAAGTTCCATACGTTTGTTTGAAATGTTGAGTATTCTACACCCATGAAGAGTGGCAGCAGGACTACATGAAGACAAAAAACCTTTTAATTCAGGGATCTAAGTAATGTTTTTAGTACTCTTTGGATTATCCTTTTTACACGTTCATGTTATTCAGTGGTAAATTACAAACAGGCTGAAAAATTACAATGATCTCTTCTGCATTTTTAACAAAAATTACATAGTAAGGTGAGGAGAACTTTCCTGCTCATCACCTGCACCATCCCTACATCAAGAAAGAAACCTTTTAGAAAGTTACGGTTTTAAATGAGATGCGGGGAACAAAACAATTGAGTACAATAAGATAAATAATATTTAAGTATTAACATTTTAAATATGCTCCTGTGTCCCATGACAGCAGTATTCTGAATAGCTAAGATTCCCCAGGCAGCTTGGTTAGTAAGGATGAATACAAACACATACACCACGTTCTCAGCTTACCTTCCCTTTCTATTTTGGCCTTTCCAATTGGAACAACAAAGTCCTTTGACTGTGCCTGTTCAGACATCTCAAAGGGAACACCATACAGCAATTCATTTTCCAGCATCACAACTAGAACAAAAAGTACTTGGATTAATTTGTAGTTCTGCAGGAACAGGCTGTACTTATGATTAACAGTACTGCAGCAGAATATTTGCAAAAGCAATACAAAAGATTAAAAGTCAGCTTCACTACTCAGTTATTTTAAATACTGTCTCAAATTCATCTTAAATGTGACCAGGTGTATGACTGCAATATAATTTTACACAAGATTTAAAGCCCTTCATATGATTTTCCCCTTAAAAAAAAAAAAAAACAATAAAAAAACAAATCAAAACAAAGAAAGCCTGGCAGAAAACAGGAGTCGAGAAGCCCATGCTGACTTACAAAACTTCTGTAAAATTTGAGTCTGCATACTCATCTCTAAAAGTAGATCAAGGGAAAACTGGAAAGGTCATGGCTAAGAAATATTCCTGTAGAACTGCTGGCTTCAGATAAGTCTTACATTTTGCATGGGTGCTCGTGAGAAAGGAAGATGAAGGTTACCTTGCTTTTGATTAATGAGATTCTGAATTCATCATCTCTAAAAAATGAGTTACATTGTACCATATCTGCAGGAGCTTCTCCTGACTCACCTTCATCCTTTATAATGCCTTTACAATGGGTGCATAAATGCATTTTTAAAGCTTCTAGATGGGTACATGGAAGCAGGTTAGAACAGCACAAAATTATTCTGCTGCTAGCTAGCCAAGTGACCATAAGGGGAAAGCAGTTAAGGTGTACTGATGCTGATGCTTAAGTGTTGAATAATTTTTTATTTTTTACATGAGGTGGGGGAGGAAAAGAAACGTTCAGAAATGAGAGCTAAATACTGCTGTGATCTGACTGTGCTCACCTGGATTGTCATCCCGGATCGATGCCTTCAGCAGCCCTTTAGCATCTTCTGAGCTCCAAGGGCTGACGACTTTCAGCCCCGGGCAGTGCCCGTACCAGGCAGCAAAGCACTGCGAGTGCTGAGCAGCAACGCCAGCCGAAGCGCCGTTGGGCCCACGGAAAACAATGGGGACGGGGATGGCTCCTGCAGACATGTAGCACGTCTTGGCGGCAGAGTTGATAACCTGGTCGATCGCTTGCATGGAGAAGTTGAACGTCATGAATTCACACACCGGCCTCAAGCCCGCCTATCAAAGTCAGATCATACGCCACGTTTTAACACAAAAGTAGCTCGTTTTGTGTTTCGGTTCAGAAGGGGGGAGGGCATACTGTACTGACCATCGCGGCACCGACGGCGATTCCCGTGAAGCCCATCTGGAAGAGGAGCAAACAGAATCAGCGCCGGAGCGCGGCCCACGAAGAGCCCCGCGGGGTGAGCGAGCCCCGCGCCGTACCTCAGAGATGGGGGTGTCGATGACCCTCTTGTCCCCGTACTTCTTCCACAGCCCCCTGGAGATCTGCGGAGCGGAGCGGCGTCAGACCCCGCAAAGCCCCGACCCCGGGCCCGGCGGCGGCCGCCCCTCACCTTATAGGCACCGTCGTACTGGGCCACCTCCTCGCCCAGCAGGAAGACGCGCTCATCCCGCTCCAGCTCCTCGTCCAGCGCCTGGTTCAGCGCGTCCCGCACCGTCACCTGCGGGACAGCGGCACAAGGCAGGGCAGAGCGGAGCGGGCGTCCCTCAGCGCACCCGCCCCGCCCCGCTCGGAAGGGATGAACCCCTCGCCCCCGATCCCCCCCCTTACGGCCTCTACCTGGATGGCGGCGGGCGCGGAGAGGTGGAGGCCCCTGCGCGGCGAAAGAAGGCGGCCTCGCGGAACCAGCAGCCGCAACGCTCCCGCCGCCGCCATCTTGGCCGTGTCCTCTAGCACCGGGCGGCAGCCCGGCCCCCGCGCTTCCTCGGCCCCGCCCCGAACTCTCGCGAGAACTCGTGCCGGCAGCCGGCGCTCTTTTAACTCGTCACTTCCGGCCCCCCACTGCGGTAGTGGCGGCGGCCGGGCCCGTCGTGCAGGGCCGAGCCGCGCTCAGGGATAGGCGCATGGCCCGAGTTTGTGCGCGCACACTGCGGCATCGCCTCCTGGCGCCGGGGCCGCCCACGGCCGCATCGCCCCGCCGCCCCCATCTCTCCGCTTCAATGATACGGCGGCCCGGCGCGGAGGCGCAGGGCGGAGCGAGATTTCTCCGCCGGCGGCCCTGAGGTGAAAGGAGGCGGCTTCCCTCCCTCACCCGACCGGAGCGGGCGGAGAGACGGGGAGGGGATCGCCTCAGACCCCGCCTCCGCTCCTCCCCTCCCGCGGCGGCTGCTTTGCTCCCCGTTCAGTCGTCCCCATCCTCGCCGGGCTCTGCTCAGCGCCGGGAGCTGCGCCTGTGAGTGCGGGGAGGGGCGGGGCTGGGCCGCGCTTCTGTGGGAGGGTGGCGGGGGGGAACGCGGGGCTGCGAGCGGCCAGAGCCCGCCCTGGGTGGGGGGAAAGCGGGGCCGTGTCCCCCGTGGGACTGCGGGCGCCCGGAGCTGCGGCGTACACGGGTCTCGTTTGTGATTCTATGGCAGGGCGGCAGGTGCGGGGCCCGGCCCTCAGCTCGGGGGGGGGGGCTGCGCGGGGTGGAGTGCTGCACCTGGCATGGCAGCTCCTGCTGCCCCTCGGTGCAGGAGGGCCGGGCTGGGGCCGGGAGCGCTGTTCAGGCGCTGTATCCAGGCACTGGGCACTTGGGGGCAGCGAGTGGAGCAGTGCAGTCGTGTCCAGCATCCTTGCTGAATCATTGCGATCTCAGAGTGAGATTTCCTACCGTGCGTTCCTCCGGGATGGAAAGCTGCTGTTCCCAGCTCCTCCTGCGGGCCTGGGCGTGAAAGGAGGATTCTTGTCACCGTCCTGCTGCTTGGTCCCTGTGATAGCCTTGTTGGCTGTGTGGGATGCTCTGTGCTCCTCACACCTGCCTTTATCCAGCACTGCTTGGATGGGTTTCCCCATGCAGATAGCTGCCTATTGGTGCCATAGAACAAGATATGTGGGTAAAACCAACTATCGACACTGTGCAGAGCATCTGTGTGGCTCCAGCAGTGCAGGGCCAGCAGGTGCAGTTGCAGTCTTTGGACTCCTGCATGAGGAGGGTCAAATGGTAATAGTGAGGTGGGATTTTCAAGCATCTGTCAGATTGGTGGATAATGTAGAACCCAGACCCAAACCAGGATTTTAGAGTTCCTCAGGTGTGGGGAAAAAAAACTTTCAGAGCTTAGAATTCATAGTGTAGCAATTAAGCATAAAGGAGTGAGAATGCTGAGTGGCCACTGTTAGTATTTTGCTCTCTTGCCTGAGGTGAAGACTGAAATATTAACCAAAAGAAACAGAGAAAGTAAGGAGAAGTTACGTTCTAATAAACTGTGTTAATCATTGTAAACTTGACGTGTGTAGGTGAGGGATTCATCCTTCGGCCATGCCAAGCTGTGGTATTACTGGAAGTTTTGGTAACCAGTTGTTTCCATAACATAGCTCGTTGCTTGGGGTAGCTCAGCACTGTAGGGCCTTGGGTTTGCTCGGCAGACTATTGCCTTGCTCTGCAGTTCTGTGAAGGACAGTCATTAATTACACTAGCTGAGGTATTGTCAATTCAGGTGAGTCACTAGTAATGATTTACAATAAAAACTTGCCTTTGGATTTCAAGACTGGCTCAGGATTAGAGAGGCTGTCCATTTACAGTGTAGCTGCTGAGAGCAGGAGTTTCATTTTCTCATCTTTGGAGATCCAAATGTCAGAGACAGTGAGCTCACTAAGTGGAAGAGTAGCTTGAGCCACAGGTATTTATCTGTATAAATAACAGACTAGCTTATTAGAAGTCCTGTCAACTTTATATTGACCTTGAAGTCTTCAGTACCTATTGAGACTAAACAGTTTGGGTAAACAATAAACAGTCTGTGTCCTTCACTTTGAGCAAGGTAGCTGAAAAGCATTCAGAGCAGATCAGGTGATGTCTGCCTTTTGGCTTGTGACTGCTGGGTGTGTTTCTCCTCCTCCATCTGAGTGTGCAGGATGGTACAACCATTGTGGTTTTGTCCAGGTGCAGCGTGTGCAGTCTGTGCCCTTGGCCAAGTGTGCTGTTTGCAGTCCCAGCAGTGCAAACACTTGGCATTGCTGCTGGCATCCCCCGGCTCTGTCCTGGATGTGTGTGTGTCTGTTCACAGATGCAGACGTTCAGCCAGCTCTCTTTTGCTTTCTGTGAATTTCAGCTTGCAAAATGGTTGCATGTTAGTAGCTACCTGGGAGAAGCCCTGCTGAAGTTAATGAGACTACCTGTTGCAGTAACCTTGCTAGTAAATAGTCTTGTAATCTTCTGAGTCATCAAATATTAAGTAAGAGTGAGTGTTTTATAAATGCAGGTATCCAATTTGGTGTATTTATTACAAAATGGTGACTTCGGTGTTTTTCTTCGAAGGTACTTGTCTCTTATTGTTCCTTCCTAGTTCTGGATGTACCTGGGCTATGGTGGCAGCTGTAGATCTTCTCCCTGCTGACAGGAAAAGCTTGGTGAAAGTAGGACTGGATGTGAGTCCATTGGTGTGCTGTGTTTTCACCAGAGAATGATGTCCTGTTTTGCTTAAATGGTGTCAGAAGTTGGTCTGGCTGAGAATTGTTTTAGGTGAGCATTTCTTACGGCCTTTAAAGGCAATTTGTCTTGGGCTGCATCTGCACATCACCTGTTCTTTGCTGCCTGGACACAAGTAGCTGTGCTGCTGAGGTTCTGTACCTGGGTGATGCATATTGTGTGACATGGACTGGCGCTGGCTTGAGGCTGTCTGTCCTGGAGTATAGATGGAGTGAGGTTCTGCGTCCTCCTGCGTCACAAACTTTCATTCAGGAAGAATTTGGAGCATTGCTAAAAGGCACATTGTTAAGGGCCCATTTCCCCACCCTTGTTATGATGTGGTTTGCTAGTCCTTATCTCTGGTTGTACCTGAACAGAGCTATTTTTCCCTTTGAAGTTATCTAGAAATTTGGTGCTGCCACGTTGGCCAGGGAAGCAGCAGGTAGCTGTGATCACATCCAGGTGTTTTGGGATGGCCTCCTTGTAGCACCTTGTGTGCTGTGCTTCTTGGTGCACTGTGAGCGTTGCCAGGTAGGTCTGTGTAGGAGTCTGGACTCTTACACAAAGGTCAGTGAGACTTCTTGCTGCATTTCTGTGTTGAGGGCTGGGTTCGTTTCTGCTAATTGCTCTCGTAAATTATTCATTGTGCTGCTACATAGCAGTGTTGTGATCAAAGATGAGTTCATGCCATCGAATGGACGGGCAATGTAGTCTGTTTCTTCCCCTGAACAGGCATGGAGTGGGGGAAAGTCCAGATTAATCCGTATAGGGGCTTAGATGTTGGCCAGAATAACAAAGTGTCATTCTGTGTGTTCAAGTAACTGATGGACATCTACCTACCTTTGGAATATTCTGAGTGTAAAGATCCAGTTAAGTTTATAAAAAGACTGCTGATCTCTTACATTGTGATTGCCAGTGACATTTCTGGCCAGCTGCATTATTTCCTCTTCAAGTGAATGTTTTTCTTGCATGTCAGAACCCTAGGCAGTCTCTCCAGTGGTTTTAATGTGTCTGCATGCTATGCTGGTGCTGTACTTGAGCAGGGGGACAGCTGCAAGTACCTGTTCCTTAAGGAAAAAAACACAAAGCAACTGGAGTCGAAGGGATCTCAACTACTGGTAACAGGTGATGATCTGTACTTGACTGACAAGTCAAAATGGAGAGAACCCGAATGACTTCACTTCTTCATTTGTCAGCAGTTAACAGAACAACTACAGATGTTGGCAAAAGAGCTAGCATTCCAGGTTTATCTGCTGTTAGGGGGTGTGTGATTTAATATGCTTTCTTCAGGCATGCTGCATCTCTCACTTGTGAAAGTAAGATCCTGGTTTGACTCGTTCTGTGTCTTAATTCCATAGGCTTCTGTTGTCTGACCTCATAATTTTCATACAGGGATTTTGTGTTTTCTTCTCTTAATACATCTCAGGTACCACTGAGGCTGTGCTCACACTGCTGGCTCCCAAAGGCCTGGCTTCTGGGAGCTGCTGAGCCCTGACTTTGGCTTTGGGCGGGATAGCAGAGCCGGAGATGGATCTGCTGTGTTGCTCTGTGGTGAATGATACCAAACTTGTTTGCAGGGAATGAGAAGGAAGAGTCATTTTTTGGCTGGGAATTAGCTGGTGCTTGAGAAAGCAGGACTCTGTCTTGGCTTAAATCTCCCAGCTCCTTTTAGCTGAGGGATGGTGCATTGAAGTTTGCCAGCACTGAGGCTGGGAGCAGAAGCCTCAGTAGCTGTGTTGCCTTTAAGATGTAAAAATAAACAAAACTGAGAAGCTGCACCCTACTTAAAACAGGCTGACCTAAATTTCCAGCAGTTGTAGCAGAGATGCAGATTATGGGTAGGGAATACAGGCTTGCTGCCTTCTCTATCCATGGGCAGCAGGGCACCTTTGGAAGGCCTCAGCTGTGTCAGGGGTCACTCGTACCTTTTTCCCCTCGGGTTGCATAAGCTGGGCTGTGGGTTTCCCTTGCAACGTTTGTGTGCAGCCCCTGCCCCTGTTATGCAAGCTGGTGGTTCCACGTCTTCTGGGAAGTTACAGCGTGATCCACTGCTCAGATTGCTTTTGTTGGAGCATCATTGAAAGCACGTTTGCTGTCCTCTTGCTCGTCCCTAAAGAGGTCTGTTTCGGGAGCATGTATGTGTCTGTGAAGTCCGTTCATACTCTTCCTCTGTAGATTAAAGTTCTTGTTATCAATTGCAGTTCTCCACTACTGAATTATTAATTCTGCAGTGAGAATTCATTTTCCTGCTGTTCATTGACTTTTGTGCTTGATTTATTCTGCGCAGTTTGAAAGTGGAGCA